ATGTCTGGGTAGGGTTTACACCGATCGGCTACGATATAGCACACGGATACGTCTCTGCCACTGAAGCTTTGCGCCAATGTTTCCATTTTCAGCAGCAAAGCTCGTACCTGTATTCATGGCTCAGTGGGCTAAGCCTGTGTGCCCGGTCGCCAATTCAAACCCAGTGTATTTAGAACGTGAAAAGCGATCTTCAGCTGAGATGCCACAAAACTTCATACTACTACTAATAATTAAAATATATATAAAAACATTTTAAACCGTTTAACTGATAGTAATATTCGGTCAAAATTAATTATTTCGGTTAACGGTTAAACGGTCAAAAGGAGCATCCCTAATACATATCCATCTACCCATCCTGGACAGACACAGAGGACGGGGGACTCAAACTCACATGACATGGGGAGCACATGCAGACTGCACACAGACACAGAGGAGGGGGACTCAAACCCACATGACATGGGGAACACATGCAAACTGCACACAGACACAGGGGGGGGGACTCAAACCCACATGGCATGGGGCTCACATGCAGACTGCAACAGAGGAGGGGGGACTCAAACCCACATGACATGGGGAGCACATGCAAACTGCACACAAACACAGAGGAGGGGGGACTGAAACCCACGTGACATGGGGAGCACATGAAAACTGCACACAGACACAGGAGGGGGATTCAAACTAGCATCCTGGACGTGTCAGGCAGTAGTGCTGCCCACTGATACAGATTAAAAGTGAATCCATCACTGTAGCCGCTTAATCCCAACTGGGGTCGCGGGGGGGACCGAAGCCTAACCCGGGAACAATGGATGCAGGCAGGAACCAACCCTGGGCAGTCACCAACACACCGCAGGGTGCACACACTCACACACACACAATTACAGGGCCAATATAGATTCGCCAATCAACCTGCCCTGCACGCTTTTTGACCGTGGGAGGAAACCGGAGCCCCTGGCAGAAACCCACGCGAACTCCACACAGAAAGGACCCGGGATTGAACCCAGGACCTCCTTGTCGTGAAGCAGCAGCGCTAACCTCGTCACACATTTCTGTTTTTAAATACAACGTAGGATGGAAAAAAAACATCTACTCCTAATTCTGATCCAGTATTCCTGAAATCTATACAATCATACTCACTTCGAACTATAACAAAAAAGATGAACACAAATATGATTCCACCCAAAACGCCACCAAATAGTGCTTTATCAGTTGAAGTTGGGGAAAATTTTGCTGAAAACTCGATGAGAGAACCTGAAATGAGATAAGAATAGTCAGTCATCATGTAATTAATGACACACACGAGGAATAAAACAAATGTGTTTAGTGGTTTGATGATGTAGCAGATGGTTTTGTTCAAAGTAATGTAAGAATCAGAGAGCAGAGTCAGCCATCTACATGACTTGAACCAATAACCTTCTGATGAGGGGCAGAGAGTCCTAACGTGCAGATATGCATACTCAGGGGTGCTGTACATAGGGGAAAGTTAGGGCAATTCCAAGGGCCCGTGAGTGACAGGGGCCCTAAAAAATGAGGACAATGATTGGATTTGTCTAGGTAGGGTGGCCAGTATGATATGTTTTCATGGGCTCAGGGCTCTAGACTGCAAACATTTAGTTGCATTTTGTGACCATTTTTGGAGGCAATGTGACTGAATTGTATAACTAGGTGCACCAGTGACCCCCACTTGCTCTTTTTTTAACTATCATTGTATATCACGTGAAACACCAGGAGGGACCAAGAACTGCGGCGAAAAGGGGTTTGATTAACTGTGACTTTAATTCTCACAGTTCCAGCTTTATTGCTCACTTTTTTTCTTGCAAAGCTGACTTCCATCCATCCTTTTACTATATACCCTCTTATCCTCTTCAGGGTCACAGGAGATGAGGATCAGACAGCGTCAATGAATCAGATGGAGTTAAAGGCCTTACAGTGATATAGTAACTCTACTAGCAATAGGATTCGAACCCACAACCTTCCCGACATGGGCACAGAGCCCTAACCTGCTGAGATGCACACCACCCTATATCGTTACATTTAAACTTACCTGCACATACAGCTGTGATAACGAAGATGTTTCCTACAGACACAGTCACGTATTTCATCTCCCCAATTGTTTCTGTAAAATCAATGTAAGAGTTATTTTAACAAATAAAACACATCTCAAGTCACAACAGTTATGCTAAATAATTTGGGAGAAATTATTTGTTCTGTCAGACCATTATAATATTCAAGTTGGCATTCATCAGATTTAATAATGTGCTAGTGAATATGCAACTATGGGATTTAAAAAACAAGAGCGTGTAGGATGTTGTTCCCACTAAACTTTACACCAACCAAAAACCATGGATAAACAGAGGAGTTCATGAAGCACTAGCAGTGCGAAACACTGCGTTCGCCTCTGCAAACACTGCGGGTTACAAACACACTGGCGACACAGTATGGAAGATGATAAAAGCAGCCAAGCGTCAGTACAGGGACAGGGTGGAATCACAATTCAGCAACACTGGGGGCATGTGGCAGGGACTAAAGACCGTCAGACAGAAATAATTTCAGAACACTGCAGACCACCGCCTCTCTCTCAGAAGTGCTAGACGTGTTTTATGCTCAGTTTGAGGCAGATAACTGCATGCTTCAAAATGTCCACCATAGTCCCTGTGCCAAAAACCACCACAGCAACATCCCTGAATGACTGGCAGCCAGTTGCCATGATCCCCATTGTAAGCAAACGCTTCAAGAAACTGGTCAGGAACTTCATCTGCTCTGCGCTGCCTGACACAATAGACTCTCTTCAATGCGTAAATCGCCAGAACAGGTCCACCGACGACGCCATAGACCTGACACTCCCCACTGCCCTCTCCCACCTGGACAAGAGGAACACATAGGTGAGAACGCTGTTTGTGGGTTACAGCTCAGCATCCAACACCATAGCTCCCTCCAGGCTCGACAGGAAGCTCTGAACTCTGGATCTGGACAGCTCTCTGTGCAGCTGGATCCTGAACTTTGTCAGTCCGACGCCAGGCACTAATTTTTCAGCGGTGCACTTTGCCCCTCCGAAAACACTGTTAGCGAATTCCCTACAGCACAGCAATCAAAATGCGTTCACGCTTGAAATTGCAGGATGGGTACCTCTGTTTGACAAAAGAGATAAACACACACCAGTTATTTGGAATCATTTTGGTTTCGACGAATCGGACCAAGAACAACAAATAATGTGCAGAATATGTTTCAAAGCTGTGACTGCTCCACTAGGCAACATAACTAATTTATTTAACCACTTAAAGCTTAATCATGAAGTAGTCTAAGGCCAAACAGTACCTGAACAAAAACTCTTAAATGTAAGGCAAGCTCATCAAACTCGTACTGCAATGCAGTTATCCGTTAAGGACACCCTCTATAAAGCAACTGCGTATCTATCAAGTTCTCAAAAACGCTGAGATATAATGAATGCCATCACATATTGTTATGTGGGCAGTGTGTGGCTCAGTGGGCTAAGCCTGTGTGCCTATAATTAGAAGGTTGCCGGTTTAAACCCAGCCTCAGCATGTCTGTGGGTCCTTGAGCAAGGCCCTTAACCCCCAGCTCCCTGGGTGTTACTATAGGTGGCTGCTCTTCACAGCCAGCTTACTCTACAAAGAACAAGCTGAGGGAGGCGTAAAAGCAATTTCCCCACAGGGACAATAAAGTGTTAATTTTTATTATTTAAAAAGAGAGGGTCTTCAGCACAGCTGGAAATATCGTCTCCTGCCATCATGCATCACTGAAGCCTGATCATGTAAACAGACTAGTGTTTCCTGCTAAAAATCTTTAAGTTGCACTTTTTAAATCAGTGGACCGAGCAGTTGAATCTAATATGTATAGTAAAAAAAATCAAGTTTAGTGTTTTTGAACCTCAGAGAACAGATCATTTCAGTATAATTTATTTATTCATTTAAAAATAATATTTGTACATATTGAAATTTTATTTTGGTTTCAATTCAATTTCAATGTAAGTGTATAAGTTTCATGATTGAGATTCAATAAATACAATGTTTCTGCAGTTGTGTGAAATAATCATGGTAGATAATCGTGATCTCAATATTGGTCAAAATAATCATGATTTTGCCATAATCAAGCAGCTCTACCTGCTAGCATGAGTCAGTCTCGCGTCCACATCCTTTAAATAGCAAATGTACTTGTACCCATCAGTGCCCGTGGGCATGTCAGTCTTAAAATGAGATGGAGTCAGGTGCATTATTGGCTTCTTGCTCTATTGAGGAAGCGGAAAGTGATTGACCAATGAAAATCTGATCTAAAGTCAGTTTTCGCTTTTCTACTGGCTTAGAGAAACCAAGCCATACCCAAGCTATACCGCAAAGTGAGACTAGTTACAGCAGTGGTTCTAGCCCACGTCGGATTCCTACAGCAGAAGGGTCGGCTCAGTAAAGGTGTTGCCTAGTTTGGAGAGCGACAGTGACGTAAAACTGAAGAGACATTTATTTACTGTTCACACAGTGTAAGTCAGTATGTAGGCTAATATGTACTAATATCTGCCTAATAATAATAACCTTGGATTTTTTTCTACAAATCAGCTGCAGTACGAATTGGACAAAAAAAACACAAATAGGAGCGGAGTCACAAATGTCGCATGATCCTCAAATACGCAGGAAGTGATCCACAAATGTGCAACGCCCGTTTCAGGTATACAAATCACTCCATATTTTTGTGGATATGATTTCATACAACACAAATAAAAATACATATTTGTGGATAGTGATGTATTTGTGGGTTTTTTTCTACAGGTAAGCTGCAGCACGAAGTGGACAGCAATCTGCAAATAAATATGAGCAAAGTCACAAATGTAACGCGAGGCAGAAAGCCAGGACGTGATCCATAAATGTGCAAAATACATTTCATGTGTAGAAGTAGTTCCATATTTTTGTGGATATGATTTTACACTAGAGGTCGACCGATATTGAATTTTACCGATACCGATAGCTAGGTTGGTCCGTACTTGCCGATAACCGGTTAATTAACCGATAGTTTTTAAAATGGATACTGGATTAAAAAAAAAAAAAAACTAAATAGAAACACAACACTCCATGTAAAATAGTACTAAACTTTATTACAAAAAACAAACAAAAAAACAGTACTGAGTCATGAAAATGTGATATATGAAATAAATATGAATATATCTATTTGTTTGGGAAGATGGTGGCGCAGGATGTAGTGCTATTGTTCGGCAACCAGAAGGTTGCAGGTTCGAGCCCCGGGTCCTCCTGACCCCATCCTTGAGCAAGACACTGAACCCCAAATTACTCCCGGTGTGCAGGTTGGTGCCTTGCATGGCAGCCTTCGCCACTGGTGTGTGAATGTGAGTGTGGATGGGTGAATGTGAGGCATGTATTGTAAAGCGCTTTGAGTACTCGTAGGAGTAGAAAAGCGCTATATAAATGCAGTCCATTTACCATATTAATAAATATTGAGGTAAATTAAAGACATGCTTTCAAACTGAAACAAAAAGTAACACTCCAAATAAATAAAAAAAAGTTACATACAAAATGAATTATAATTATATAATATTATAATTATATATAACATTAAATATATAAATGTATATTATATGTGTAGTCTCCCACTATATTTGCTTCTATTTTGAAAACTTTTTTCTCTCTCCATAGGCAGAGGATGACCAAACTGTTTGTGTAATCTGTTAACAACGCTCATTATATACCCGTCTTTTTAGGCAAGAACCAGATAATGAGTGTCACGTCATGAAATGGTTTTAATACGAAGGGAGCTGTATTACGTGATAACAAATTTAATAAAAACATCGTAAGTTAGGCCTATAATAGTAATGATTTAATTTCAAGCAACAAATATATTATATAGAGAAAGTGAGCAAAGTATCAACAGAGCTTTTTGAAACTCCGAATCAGTAAAACACTGCGTCGCAAAAAGATTCACTGTTTCGAAGCGCTCCAGTCGGATCCCCCCGGCAAATCGCACCCTGTGCCTGAAGATAAAAAGATCTGAAATCGAACGCATTCCTGATGGTAACAATCATGACATTAAACATTTGGGTCGGACTTGCGTGTATTTTTGCCACATTATTTTAACCGCTTGATGTACTGCTAATGTTAGCGTCCTCTCAGCCTTGTCGACAAACATACTGCTGTTCTTTCTCCAATGCAGAATGTAATCAACAAATGAATTACTTTATATTGAGATGAAAACATGTACTGTAGTGTACTGTATACATACCTTTTCGCTGTCTGTGTTTTAAACATGCATTTGAAGTGTCAGCGTTGTCCGTGCACCGCGCTCTCTCCAGGCAGCTTGCACTCTCCTTGGAAAAAACAGTATCACGTGTCAAAACAAAAGCACGTGCTTTGCAGCGATTTTTCCCTATAGAGGCGGCTCTTGCATATAGATGTATATGTTGGCTCTTGCACTGTATAAGGACAACAGACCGTTCTCAGCCGCTTCAGCTCTGACGCAACCCGGAAAAACTATCGGCGTGGATTTTTGCCGATAACCGATAGTTCCGGGAATCAACTATCGGTGCTTATTAATCGGCAAAACCGATACATCGGTCGACCTCTACTTTACACAACACAATTTAAAAAAAATACATATTTGTAGATAGTGAAGTACTTGTGGATCATGGTATGTGGATCATATTTGTGAATGGCAATTCTAGTAACTAAGTACAGCATGGCATGAGTTTTACACAGCCCAAAACCTTTCCCTAACATGTTGTTTATGTTATTAGCTGAGAAATTCACAAACAGAATCTAGCAATCGCATAAAATAAAATAATGCAAAGTAAAATAGCGTACACAGCCTTGTATGCTGTTTTTTGTGTCTGTGATTGGGGCAGAGTAACGCAACTCTCACACACGCTGCAGTGTTTGAGAGCTGCCTGCTCCGTCCCACAAACACACAGAGTGAAACTCTCCGACACAAGAAAAAAAAGTTCCCGACAGCGTAATTCGCGGTCTCTTTCAAAAGTGCTCGCGTTTTCTTTTAAAGCAACATTTCATAGCAAAACAGTTAAATAAATAAGTCTTTGCAACATCAGAATTTAAGCCTTACCGTGTTCTCCCAAGACTCTTCCAGAACTTCTGGCTGGGGTCCAGCACAAGCAGCATGGGCCACGTGTTCCACAGCAACAATAACACTGGGCTGCCCGCAGAGGTGCCTGTCTGTAAATCGGCGTAGTGCACTTGGATATCGGTACATTAAAAAATGCCAAATATCGGCCCGATATATCGGCCGGCCGATACATCGGTCGACCTCTACTACACACTATGGAGCCGAATACGACCCACACGTAAAAATAACTGCATATCATTGTCTTAATGTGGAAATGTTTTCTCAACTGCTTCGCCTGCAGCCCAACCTAAGTTTGCCTGTTTTGCTCCCCTTGCTTGCCCTCACTTGAATAAATACCCCATGTCCGGGAAAACGTGACTCCTCTGTCTCTGCGAGTGTTTTTGTCCTGACAGCAAACTGACATGTGATTCCAGCACGAGGAAAACAGAAATAAAACATCACTTTAGCTAAAGGAGATTTTTCGGCAAATATGCTTTTATATTCAATTTCATGTTTTATACCTGGATTCTCATCATATATAGGAGGGTTCAGATTAACTGTAACCAACACACTCATGTTCTACAAACATCTACATCTGTCACCATAAACTAAAACTGCAGATGAGACACTAAGTGAATTTGGAACATTTTACATCTGTATATAAAATCATACACAAGCTGTAGCATCTTTATTAAAATTAAAAACCTCTGTGACCCACATTACAGTATATTAGCTGGACAATGCACTGTTAAAACTGCAGGAGAACCAGCAATTATATGGAAAGACTTGAAAAATGTACTATGCAAGTTTTATAATAATCATTTATATTATATTTTATTATTTTGTCAAGCTGTCATCTTATTTGAATAGTGCACATTGGAAACAGAAGGAAAAATATGAAAATAAGGAAACATACCTGTTAAGTCCACATATGGAACCATAATATACAGCAGTGGGATAATCAGCAGACTGATGACAGTACAAGTGGCAGCCTCTCCTGCAGATCCTGAGAAACACCAGTCACACAAGATAGCATCCAATGAACATTTTGCAGTATTTAGATGTAGATCTGCAGACTGGATCACAGTTTTCGGACCATTCCACCAAATCAGTGCCATTTCTGTCTCGAGAACATTATATGTATAAATATGCATGAAAGTAGTTTTATAATACATGTTATTATCATGCAAAATGTCCTCCACAATGTCTTCATTGCAAATTTAGCATACATAATCCATCCATTTTCTGAAACCGCTTATCCCATTCAGGGTCATGGGGTGTCTGGAGACTATGCTGGAGGCTACGGGTGCAAGGCAGGGAACAGCCCTGGATGGTGAGCAAATGCATCGCAGGGCACATTCACACCCCATTCACTCAACTAAGGGCAATTTGGTAACTCCAGTTAGCTTCAGCATGTTTTTGGATTGTGTGTGTGGGGGGGCCAGAGTATCCGGAGGAAGCCTCACAACGCTAAGGGGAGAACACGCAAACTCCACACACGGAACACCAACAGAGACTTGAACCATGGAGCCACAGGTGTGAGTTGCTAACCACTGCACCACCACGCCACCCCCAGCATACATAACGCAAAACATTAATGAAAACTACCTAGAACACTGAAAAAACAGAGTGTGTCACCTGTCTCTGCTGACTAATACTGAAATATAATGATTAAAAGCGTTCAACAGGAACTTGAATCATCTCATTCACCTGAAGACCATAGGAAGACCCGAAGGTTCTGGCAATCAGGCATCTTACTGATTCCTGACTATAAGAAGCAGCTCCTTCCTTTGTTTAACTACCCCCCCCCCAGGGGCAATCCTCTTACTTGATCTCACGAATATGAGAGTTGGCTCCTTTTCTTTGTCCTCTACTTTAAAAAAAATAATTAAATAAATTTTATATATATAAACATATATATATATATAAATATACACATACACACACACACACATATATATATAAATATACACATACACACACACATATACATATATATATATATACATATATATATATACACACACACACACACACACACACACATATATATATATATATATATATATATATATATATATATATATATATAGTGGTACCTCAGTTCTCGAACTCTTTAGAACTCAAATTTCTTAAAAGTCGAACCAACCAGTTCGAAAAAAAAAAACACCTAGAGCTCGATCTGAATCTCAGAAGTCAAACCGTGAACGCCGACCTAAGATAACTTGTATGCATGGAGAAATTAATGGGTTAACGAGGGGGCGTGGCACACGGAAGGAGCGGACGATCGGGGCAGGACACATTGTTTGGATACATTTATTTTCTTACTTTACAAATTACTGTTTTGATAAATGTGCTTAGATGTCTTTAGTACAGTAATTTATCAATTTTATTCAATTGATTTAATGATTTTTAAATTTTTGTTAGCTTACTTTAATTGTCCTCCTTAGGGTCATGGGTGTCTGGAGTTTACAGGTGCAAGGGAGGGAACAACCCTGGATGGGGCAACAACCCAACACAGGGTACACTCACATACTCACACATATAGGCAATTTGGTAACTACACTTCACCTCGGCATGTTTTTGGACTGTAGCTAAAAACCAGAGTACCTAGAGAAAACCCCAAAACAACCTAGAGAAAACATGCAAACTCCACACACGTGGAGCCATGGCAGAGACTCAAACCCGGGTCCCAGAGGTGTGAGACAACAATGCTAATCACTGCAGTACCAAGCTGCCCCTCACACAAACATTTACTAGAGAACTTCCTGATCACTGCTAGACAATTGGCCCCTAACCTTCTGAAATCCATTTTTATTTATTACAGCCCTCTGTTCATCATAAAAAGTTTTTTAAATAGTAAAACTCACAAGACACAAAAAATGCAAATCTGTCAGCTTTCAAAGCATTCTTTATATTTACTGTAATGGGCTCACCTTCAGTTACACCCCACAGGATGAATGCAGCGGAAACCATGATCTGTGGGACTGTGACACATGACCAGTGACACAACAGAGCCTGTCTGCTTTTACCTACAGACAGAAAGTAGAAACAAATTTAACTACAAGCTTTAACATTAGATGGCAGTTCCTGCAAAGTTTGATGATGTATATCCGTCTTCAGATGGTCATTCTGCTGCATGCTCACCTACAGACACCCAGTACAGACTGTCAGTCTCACTAGATGCATTATTTTAAGCATAATTTTAATGAGGACATCAGCTTTGGTTCAGTGTTTTGGTTTGCAGGGGTTTACAGTATAGTATGGTTTACAGGTGAGTAAAAGTATAAGTCCAGACCAACCAGTTGAGTATAAGGAGTCACAGTCACAGAGTACTCAACTGGTTGAGTGAAACCACACCTCTGGACGTTACCTCTCTGGACCTTAACTTTTCACCTCTGGTTTACAGTGATGTGACTTTTTGAAATTGTTCATATTCACATATGTATGTTACCAGAGCAGAGGCATAGGAACAAAGTTTTTAAATTAGATCACAGTTACGTTTTGTACTGTTTTCTCTTAATGATGTTTAATGTATCACAAATCACCTATGTGAAGCGCCTTGGGATGACTCTGTTGTGAAAGGCACTATATAGAAAACATGAAACTGAACAGAATTAAGCCCTGCAATTGACAGGCAATAAAAATGTCTGCTGAGATGCCCTCTACAGGATATGTGGCTCCAACCACAGATCCACTGAAATGAATAGAAAGCACACAGTAGACACGTCACAGAAATTCACATTATCTTTGACATGTTTTACAAAGATTGGATTAAAATGTTTCAAAATCACATACCTTCCCTTATACAAGACCAAAGAGAGAAGGCCCCAGTAAGTAGGACTGCAGGTGTGACAGCGATGCACAGCCCCAGAATCAGCCAATGCAGGGAGGAATAACCTAAAAAAAATAACATTTTATGTGTTTTATGTATATGTGATTCCTAACTGTTGTTAAGCCTTAAAACATGCTTATTAAAATATGAGATTTTTCATATTCCCATATATGATTTGACTATATTTACACAACATGATACACAGAGCTGTTTAATTTTATTTACTCAGTTATGTTAAATAAACTTATATGGCGTCACATCAAAGTCACAACTCACACGCATAAGATGACTTGTTGATAACGTAGATGCAGCTCAGGTTCAGAGAGGCCATATGTTAACACGGGGGGAACAGGCACCCCCGGGGACAAGGCAGCAGACAGGCCAAAGAACAGAAGTGGTCATGAGGAAGGTCCAGCCAACCACGTCTGCTGCCTCAGGCAGGTCCAGCCAACCACGTCTGCTGCCTCAGGCAGGTCATGCAGCAGACTGGACGAGAATATGGCCAGGTTTGAATTTCTTGAAAATTTAAAGCAATGAAGAAAAGTCAATTCTTTCTTATAATTTTGAATAATATCCAAAGTAGGTCTGTTTATCGTTTAACAAGTCATCTTAATAATGATGCTGTCTACATGATTAACTTAAACTAAATGGATAAAGTCAGTACTAAAAACATTACACTAGAGCACTTATCTGGAACTAGTTTATAATACCCGACACCATGGAGACAACTCAGTGTGTCCCTATGTGAAGATATTTTTTGTAAATCAGTTCCCAAAGGGGCATTACATTGCAGATTTAAGTACTATAGAACAGAATAGTTTAACTAACCCACAACGTTCAAATAGCTACAGAAAGCTTCGATACAAAATGCTACAACTACATTAGTAATACTCATCGTAAGTGGTTGCATGACGAGGTGTAGAAATTATGTGTGGTCAATGGAAACTCTTAACAGATGATAACGTTACTTTACTGAATGGAGATGCAGAACCTAATGCCTGCCTCAGCATCCCAATACCGTGTGTCGCTGCATTGTGTAACTGTATCTGTTTTATATTGATGGGGAAACAGGCACGGAGGCAATGAGAATCGGTGAAATTATAACATAGATAAACCATACTTCATCCGCCAATAGTGTTCGCTGTCAGAAACGGCATGACTCCGTCCCCAAACTGTGAAAACCTCCCCCCCGGGAGAAGTGTCTGGCTGCAGAAGGGGTCTGAGAGTGCGTGTCCTCTGTCAGGCCCCATCCACTCTCAAGCCCCTACGTCATTTCCGTTAAAACGACAGACTCCGTCTTGTCACGATAGATTACGACTTGCCGATAGCGGTTACAGCATCCATCTTGTCGCGCATATAATTCTTAAAACGCTGTATGTATGGCTTAACAGTTTAGAAATTAAAAACTCCTCTCCTTACTACAGGCAACTTGTGTTTACCTTAAAGTCCTAAGACTAGTTACAGTTTTGACTTTGATGTGACGCCATAAAATTAATAAAATGCACAGCTATTGTAGCATTTTTCCAGTGACATTGTAAAGAACCACAAAAATTATTATTAAATAATAATAAAACTACAAGTATTCATTGCACTGTGTAAGTCTAATAAAATGTGCTATGCACTACATGTGACACCTAAACAGAATATTAACTCATTAATTATATTTTGTGTGTATATATAAATGGATTAAATTTAATGTTTTCTACTGTTACATTGAGTAGAATACACCCAGTTAGGGGTATAGTATGCGTATAAAGATCAGTCTACAGCAGAACCACTGACCCTCGATCAGGAACTATGCTGAGATGCATGTTAAAACCAGTCCATCTAGTAACTTACCTAGTGCTATTATTCTGGCAGTTGTATTGGCAGAATCAGTATCTAAGTGGACTTCACACCTGAACTCTCCTTTGTCTTCCATCCTGACTTTCCACAGTTTCATTGAGAAGTTTCCTTTTGGAATTTCGTCAGTGAAGAATTCAGCTCTTCTGGTGTATCTCTCATCCTGTGACTCTGGTCTGTTCTCTCCATCAGCATACAGAAGCACCAAGATGTCACCGTCATCGTCTGTCTTTCTCCATTCCACCTGAAGCTCTGTCACATTAAC